TTTTACCGTTAGCTTTTTTTCTTTATTCCAACCCCAACCCAAAATGATAGGAAAATGGATTTTATACTGTGAGTGGGATTCATTTTGATCAAATATTCTATTGAGACATCTGGTTTTCTTATGAATTCATCCACCATTTAATGTATTTATATTTACTTAAATTGTATTTATTGTATGATGTTGGTCTCAGATGCGCAAATGTGGAAAGTGTAAATTAAAATACATATGTGAAATGGTAAATGATAATCTCAATCCCAGCAACTCAAGAATGACTAAGGAAATCTCTTGCAATAAAACATGAATAATTATTTTCTGATGTGGAAGATCAGATTAAACTGTGACCACAGAGCATAGTAAGAATATTCCAAATAAATAAAATATGCAACAAAGAAGACACCAAGATTTTACGTGGAAAAAACCACGGGACAACCTCCGAACAATTCCACTATATTTTCAAGATAATTACAATATCTTTTCACACTCCCCTACACTAGAAATGTAAAATATAGTGACCTAGTGAGACCCATTCAAATATTACAAGGAGTAATAGAGATGATACTCGACCCGGTGTATTTTTCCCACACTCACAGAATTTACTCAAACACTCCATTTTTCTCTCGCTGAAAAATCAAACACACAAAAATACTTAATATTTCTTCTTGTTGTTTTACTTTCTCTCCGTTGGTGTGATTTATCAGCACTTCAGATGCTGCTATTTATAGATGAGAAAGGTGCTTCAAATATTCAAAGTTGGCAGCCTAACATTGTCTACATGACAGCTCATTGCATAAAAAATTGCTAATCCACTTTAGTTGAATTTGGTTGCCCACAACTCAACCACTAGTGGCTGGACATGTCAATTCTCCCTCTCCAGCCAAAGAAAAATATTCTGCAAATCTTCACATGCAAACCATGTCGATTAATTCGGCACAATGTTGAAGCTTTCCCTCTGTTACAACTTTCGTCATCATATCAGCAGGGTTTTTGTCAGTGTGAATCTTTTCCAACTTGAACTGTTGTTCTTCCAACAATATGGAAATTGGTTCACGATGCATATCTATCCCAATTTGAAGGGAGTAGTTTTGAGACATGAGGATATGGGGTTTTCCCTTTAGCTTGCCTTCTTGTCTACTCCTTGCTGTCTGAACCAACTGAAGGTGTTTTTTATGATTGTTGTGGTTGATACTTTTTACTTTGGTTTTGAGAATGAGCCCTTTTCGATTTTGCCAATGACTTCACATCCATAATCCTTCTATCACAGATTCTTCCCCAACTTAATTAGAAAAGAAAAAGTTTCAAATAGCAAGAACGTTCATTTTCTTGAAATAAATGCATAATTGCTAAATATTGTGCAAAATCATAATCTTTCCAACAAATACAGTTTCCAGTGTAAAAGGTAAGGACTAAAAATTTATTAAGACGAATGAAAAGGAATCATAACCCATAACCCACCACCAAGTAAACGAACATATTACCAAAAAAATAAATAATCAAAGTTTCGAAATATTCATACAACAAAAGCTAAATTGCAGCGCACATCGTCAAGAACCTTAGAGTGCAGTAAAATTAAACATTCTTCACTAATTTCGACACTCTAATCCATCGTGTTCTTAAGCTAAGTTGGTCATATAGTACAAGATTCACTGAGAAAATTGAGTTCACGATGCATACCTGATTAAAAATCTTCACTCATGAATAATTGAATACGCAGAATCACGGATTCTGATAAGCACCAAAGACTTTTGGTTGCCGTTTGGAAAAAGAAAAAAGAAAAAAAAAGATAAGCACCAAAGGGGTAATTTATATATAAAAAAAATAAAAAAATTAAGAGGACAAAAATAAAAAGAAAAAAAGTTTGTGGACAAAAATAAAAAGCACGTATTTTCAAAATACGTTTTTATAATTAAAATTTTTTAGAAAAACGTATTCTCGTAATACGTTTTATAATTATATTTGTAAAAAATATAAAAAAAAATTATTTCCGAAAAAAGTCTGAGTTAATAAAAAAAAATAATTATTACAAAACGTATTTTCAAAATATATTTTATATTTCTATAATTTAAATTAATAAAAAACCTATTAAAACTTATTTGGAGAATGCATTTTTTTTAGATCCTAAATCAATTTTAAAACGTACTTTCGAAATACATTGCTATAAAAAAATAAATATCTAAAAATAAAATAAATTTTTAATATTGTTCAAATTTTTAAACAAAATATGTTTATAGCATGGTAGGTTCATATATATATATATAGAAATATTTGTAAACACACATACATTATATACAAAAATAAAATTATATACTTATATCATCACTTGTGTACAAGGTACAAAAGAAAAACATATATATTATCAATGTGTAATATTTGTAAACACACATACATTATATACAAAATTAAAATTATATACTTATATCATCAATTGTGTACAAGGTACAAAAGAAAAACATATATATTATCACATGTGTACAAGGAGCAAAAGAAAAATATAACAAAAGAAGGAGACTAAAGGATTTGAACACATACCTCTCACAAAGTGAAGAATAAGACTAAAGGTAACAACTCCACCAAGGATATTTTGTTGAAAAAATGTCAACAAGTATATACATATAAACGTAATTCAGTACAAAAATGCGTTTTCCAGTTTTGCCCATCGGTTCATGAAATTGAAGTTGAGAGCATTGTTGTGATAAAAAAAAATTGTGCCAAGAGTCTCCGTTTGGAGATATAAAGTTTTAAAAATGTAAAAAACTTAGAATTTTGCTTCAAAATCTAATTAACCTTAGAAATCAAAAACTTAGAATTGTCGTGTGTTGACATCCGAGTTCGCCGATAAGACCGGACCGGACAAATTCCGAGAGCCAGACCGGAGACCCGGTCCACCCGTAAAGTGCCGAGCTGGACCGAAAAATTTCATGACCCGGACGTTCCCGTGAGTTCGTCTGTCAGACCGGCGTTTTCGACTACGAAACCCAGATGCCGACCTGAAGAGTGACGGTCTGGAAGAAAGGTTTCCCAGGGTCGGAGGGACAAGTAAAGAAAGGGTGCCGACCTGGAGTCCCAGGACGGGCTACTATAATGAAGGTGTCGACCCCGATAGTATTATAATAATGCCACTTGGAGGGTAATCATTGGCTAATGGATGGGACACCCCAGCCTGTTGACCTATTCCCCCTAGCCAAGACATAAAGCCTGCCAGCATTAAATGCCTGTCAGACAATGATGAGGAAAACCTCAAATCGCATTTAATGCTGTCAGGAAGGCGCCGGACTATCCTGCAGAAACACTGTACGACAAGACCGATGAACAGTATCTGAACAGTGCCACATTAAAGGCTACTATAAATAGCAACCCTTCTCATTTATTTTGGGTTGTTGAATCTCAACTGTAAAGAGCTCTTTCTATATTTTCTCTCTCTAAAACTTGTAAGAAATTCGTGTAAGAAATATAAGTATATCGCAAGTGCCGACCTCGTACGAGAGGCCGACCTCGTGATCTTTCAATAAAACTGCAATTAAACCGTATTTCCTCGTATTTTCCTTATTTCTTTTCCATTATTTACCTTTTTAACCGTTGACCGGAAACGCCCGTCAACATCGTGGTTGATGCTTTTTACTGTGGTTTTGAGAATGAGCCCTTTTCGATTTTGCCAATGACTTCACATCTATAATCCTTCTATCACAGATTCTTCCCCAATTTAATTAGAAAAGAAAAAGTTTCAAATAGCAAGAACGCTCATTTTCTTGAAATGAATGCATAATTGCCAAATATTGTGCAAAATCATAATCTTTCCAACAAATACAGTTTCCAGTGTAAAAGGTAAGGACTGAAAATTTATTAAGACGAAATGTTGTATACTGAAAAAGAATCATAACCCATAACCCACCACCAAGTAAATGAACATATTACCAAAAAAATAAATAATCAAAGTTTTGAAATATTCATACAACAAAAGTTAAATTGCGGCGCACATCGTCAAGAACCTTAGAGTGCAGTAAAATTAAACATTCTTCACTAATTTCGACACTCTAATTCATCGTGTTCTTAAGCTAAGTTAGTTGGTCAAATGGTACAAGATTCACTGAGAAAATTGAGTTCACGATGCATACCTGATTAAAAATCTTCACTCATGAATAATTGAATACGCAGCAAAATCACGGATTCTGATAAGCACCAAAGACTTTTGGTTGCCGTTTGGAAAAAGAAAAAAGAAAAAAAAAGATAAGCACCAAAGGGGTAATTTATATATAAAAAAAATAAAAAAATTAAGAGGACAAAAATAAAAAGAAAAAAAGTTTGTGGACAAAAATAAAAAGCACGTATTTTCAAAATACGTTTTTATAATTAAAATTTTTTAGAAAAACGTATTCTCGTAATACGTTTTATAATTATATTTGTAAAAAATATAAAAAAAAATTATTTCCGAAAAAAGTCTGAGTTAATAAAAAAAAATAATTATTACAAAACGTATTTTCAAAATATATTTTATATTTCTATAATTTAAATTAATAAAAAACCTATTAAAACTTATTTGGAGAATGCATTTTTTTTAGATCCTAAATCAATTTTAAAACGTACTTTCGAAATACATTGCTATAAAAAAATAAATATCTAAAAATAAAATAAATTTTTAATATTGTTCAAATTTTTAAACAAAATATGTTTATAGCATGGTAGGTTCATATATATATATATAGAAATATTTGTAAACACACATACATTATATACAAAAATAAAATTATATACTTATATCATCACTTGTGTACAAGGTACAAAAGAAAAACATATATATTATCAATGTGTAATATTTGTAAACACACATACATTATATACAAAATTAAAATTATATACTTATATCATCAATTGTGTACAAGGTACAAAAGAAAAACATATATATTATCACATGTGTACAAGGAGCAAAAGAAAAATATAACAAAAGAAGGAGACTAAAGGATTTGAA